GAACGAAAAGCTCTGATTGAGCGAGAAGCTGTGCAGCCTTTGTCAGATTTGCCGTACGGACATTTTCCGTTGCGACCTGGTTGCGACTTCTCTGGTTGAATAAACATCATAACATTATGATCATTCAGCCTTCACTAAAATTGGGCATTTTTTCCAGTGCCGTGAAATCCGAATTATTGATCGTTTACTGCATAGCTCCTGCTATGAGCTATTGCTTCCGATAACTGGGTCATGTTGCAGAAAATCTGGTTGCTAAACGTAATACTGCCTCTGACGTTAATGCTCGAGTCAAAATATATCGATGTGGCACAAACTCTTGATGCTGGAATAAAAAGTATGTGTGTTATTTGGCCCTAAGTTTTCGTGTTTCGATTTCGCGTCTATCCAGGTTTCCTAGAACACAGAGTAACAGATGCACACGTGGTATAGTGTTCGGTGCGACCACAAACCTAGCAACTCGAATCGTTTCGCATTCGTTTATTCTAAAATGCAGTCTTATACATAGCTAGTAGCTTGCAATGGAATTGCCATAGCTTTATGAAAGAAGGCACGTCCACCTGGCTTCACTGCACACACGCAGCTGATGCTATCCCTGCAGTTACATGCCCTACAAGTGCACATAAGCATCCGCTTGTTTACATCATGGCCGACAGCGTGGTCGCCAGATGCCACTGAGATGGAGAGTGAAGACAGTTTACTAAAACCTTCCACACTCCAGCTCTTGTTAGACTGATAGATGCCCTATAATAGCAACATTATTATCATGCCTGCATGAATCTGGGTCAAATTTAGAATGCCGAATGCCACCTTTTAATTAGTCACTGGGGTAGATAGAGAGTATACATTCGGTTCGACTGCGACGGGGAATGTGCTCCTCGAACTCATTCGGCAGCAGTCAATGGATTCTAATAAAATTATATACTCCTGTTTAGCAGCCACAAAATGTCATTAGATGAGAATGTAATTGTATTCAAATGACATTGAAATGTTCCGTGTGACAGGGGTATATAATTTACACACAAAGCCCCCCCACGCTACTCAAGCACCCTATGATGTCCTGGGAGAGTGAAACGTGATAGCTGGAAGTGACAGTATTTGGACTGAGGCTAACTCTTACTTTGTTTGTATACTTACGAGAATTCACTGCTCAATAAGGTGCATATGATATTTCTCATGACACCGTTTGCTCTGTCATTCGACATATCAGAATAGGTTCTAGAGAGTAAAATGGACAACTTGCGTCGCAGGACCCCTCCATAGCTTTCATGATTACAAAGTGGACAAGCAACCAGCACTACAGGCTCTGAGTAAGAGGCATATACAGCTACAGTACTTCAATTTTCCAATAGCGAATCTGTAAAGCATGGCATAATATCGGCTGTTCCCTGCAACAAAACTCGCTGTACCATTGCCTAGCAACAGCTGCACACCACCTGGCCTCGCCTAGTCTCACTACTGGGATGCCATGCCAAGTCATGCACGTGCCGCAGAAACATCTGCGTAAGAGCCGCATCGAAGCTACCGGAATGGCGAAGGAAAATCGCGCCAAGGTTAAATAAAAATTAGATTATCTCCCACAAAAAGGAAACCATGAGTAGCATGCAAAGCAGCACATGGGTCGACTTAACGTTCCTTTCATCACAGGCACCTTAAGAGTGAAGCACACCATGAATTCACTATAGTTTCTGTTACTCTTTCCGAACTCTTGTTGGAGCATGCCACGCGGTTTCATCGCCACGCCACACGGGAGCACGTGGGTTCATCGCGGGTCTGCAGAATCATGTTCCTCGATGCCATCACATGATATCTGAGAGAGTGTAAGGAGGAGAGCTCACAGCCTAATACACAGCCACTTACACAGGCCTGAACGCGCTAGTGCGTGCCAGGACGTTCTGGCAGTACATGGGCCAGCTGTTGCGCATGTGCAGTTGGAGGGGTCACACACACCGGATAAGCTGATACATACTGGATAAGCTGCTTCATATCTAAAAAAGTTACCTAACAACTGTTTACTACATTATGCAGGGTGCCCCAGCTATTTTCAGCCAGAGTTTAAAAATATGCCGACACACTCAATTGCGACGTGACTAAATGCATGATTTTGACTGTTGCCTGCAGTTAAGGGGAGATGCTACTCGAAGACACTTTTTTTTAATATTCACCATAGAGCAATGAAATTGGAGCTGTTTATGGAACTTTTTATGCTGATTTCAATAAGTTTTCTTGCAACTTACACAATTTTAGCTCTGCAACTTGATAAAGTGAAAACCTTCACCCTTTTGCTCCCCCTCTTTTCGTCCCTAAACTTCTGTAAGTTTTTACCTATCATAGCTCATAATGCTTTAAATAAAGTGAAGAGTGCGAATCACTAATTAGGAAGCACATACAAAATATGTAGTATGCGTAAAAAATAATACACATAAAAGTCCATATTTCACTTAGCCTAGTAAAGTATACATACAATTTTTTATTATACAATAAAACCTTGAAATATAAACTAGATAACTGCATTTTTCATACTTTGGGAAAAATTGGGGCAAAATTTCATGCAGATCCGAGCACTAGAAGTGCCCGAAAAAGGAGGGGCACATTGGAAAAAATGTCAAAATTTGGGTTTTGAGAAAAACGAGTTTTAAAGTTAAAATTGAGTTTTTATTTATAAAAATATATATAAATCACATGAAATTCGCACACCAAAAAGGACAATGCTTCTTGTAGTGGCCACTGCGACTAAAATACGCCAGCACCATGAGTTTGTCCCTCGCCATTTTCGAGCCGACTCCTCACAGACATTTCGCTCACAGACAGGGCCATGAAACGCTTGCCAAACTTCCGCTCCATTTGGCAGAGCCTTGTGCCAACTGCAAGCTAGGAAGAAGTTCGACAAGACTACGAAATCCGAACTAAGTCTAGAGTCATGCCATTTTGCAGCCATGCTTGTGCCACGTACCGTTGTACATAATGGCAATGTCGTCCCTGCTAAGTTCTCTCACTGCGAGCTCTTTCGACCTCGCAAGATTGGCGCTGATGTCATCCATTGCCGCATCACGAACTTTCCGGCCGACAGGTGTGAATGACTTTTGATGCATTGGCTTTTGCAAGCCAATAACTGCCGCAAATCGGACCAGCTAGCTCGTAGCCTATTCCTACAGAGCGCGCCGCACAACGGCTTTCACTTGCGAGCAATGCTCTTTTTTCATTCATAACGGAGATAATTACATGAAAAAAGCATTGCTCAGCTGCGCTGCTCGACAATACATGGACCCTGCAAATAGGTTTCACAGTAGATACAGGCGCGCAGCAGCCAATGGCAGTCCCCGATTCGTACCACGTGATAAGCCAGTCGCGGCGCTCGAAAAACACGCAGAAGAGTGCTTATTTTTATTATTTCTTGCACTGCATCATTGAGAAGAATTGTTGGTATTTGAAGAGTGAGGCTCGACTTTTCGACTAATGCGATCATCAATGGCGAGCGGCGGCGCATTATCGGCGGCAAGGTGCTCGAAGACTGCACACTTTCAACCTTTAATAGGCACTTCGTGCTCTTTAGATGCAGTATAAAACATTCCCAGTTAAGTCTCGACCTGTATTATTTTTTTCATAACAGTAGAAGCACTAATCTTATCAAAACAGGCGAAAATAAAAAATCTGTAATTTTGAAAAAAAAAAACTCGTGTATTTCGACCCGCATCTGCCCTTAATCACACTACTTTTTTTGTGTTCTAAAATATTGTTTATTAGATGATGTTTAATTAACTAACCTTTGAAGAAAGGAAGATGGATAAAAAAATGCCAATGAGAAAGTTGTAGGTCTGTTTGGAAAATGTCCGATTAGATAGTTTTGAACTTTATATCTGTTAATTATCAGTGTTTTTCTACTAACTACAAATGCCTGTGAAATACAAAAAATACCACGTGACAATCCAACTGGCGGGTCTACGTGCGCTGCGATTCTGGGGCTCCCTAACATTCCGCGTGTGAACAATACACTTTCCTCGCACCGGTTCGTGACAGCGATCAGCAGTCACAGTGGTTATCATTTTTATGGCAGATAGTGAAACGCATTCATTCCAAAGCAACCACCATTGTTGCGGCTCTGTCGAGACAGCATAATCGGGTGAATGCTATGGTTGTTTGTACACTGAACGTTTGGGAGCACTAGAATCACCGTGCGCACTGGCACATGAGCGAGTTTGTCATGTGGTATTTTTTTTTTTATTTTGTAACATCAGTAGTTAGCAGAAAAACACTAATATTTAACAGATATAAGGTTCGAAACTATCTAATCGGATGTTTTGCAAGCCAATCTACATGTTTCTCATTGAAGTTTTTATGAATTTTATTCCTTCAAAAGTTGGTTAATTAAATAGATCTATCTAAACAATAGTTTAGAACACAAAAGATAATCTAACTCCAGGCAACGGTGAGCAACATGCATTTGGTGGCATCGTAATTACATGCGTGGGCATATTTTTAAGTCTGACTAAAAATAGCTGGGGCACCATGTATATGTCCTGAGTAGACCTACTGTGCATGTGCATGTCCTTGGGATCATTACAAAATAGCCCCCTTTGGTCAAGCTGAAGCATTTTGTAGCCATGGGTCATCCGAAGAAGAACCGTACTCCTGAAGAAGATGCTGGGTATCACAAGGCTTGACATGCCTCTGAGCAATAACGAAATTAGCGGCGGTACTCTCATCCAATCTACATGAACAAGAAAGGAGCTGGCATGAAGCGAAAGAGGCAAATACAAAATCTACACTGTGCGAGAATGAGTGGGAAGCTGGAAGATAGCATTGCTTAAACCAAGTCTGAAGCATAACTTTAGCCTAGTGGCTTAGTACTAGCGGATAAAGCCTTTCACTTAGATTAACCAGCCTTGCTGTTTCAAGTCTTGCGTGGCCAAGTGCAAGCTTGTTTTTTTTTTTTTCTGTTTCTTTGCTTAAAGAAAAAGTACACAGTAAGCACTAGAGTAAGGCCAAACATAAACACCACTCACCTGCAGTGCCAAGACGCGTCCCAACACAGGGTCCGCTGCCAACACTCCGAGTAAAGCATTGAGGTCTTCTTCGTGCTCAGCGGCTGCAGCGGGACTCAGAGATTCTCGGAAGCGTTCGAGGGCTTTCACCGCCTCAGCAACTGCCGCTGCATATCACACATGCACTCTTCGGTCACATCAATATGTGAACAAACGACCGCCAGAGCTAATTATAACTACAGTATAATCCCTAACAAGCATCCCTACCTGAGCAGGCACACCCCTTCCTGGAAATTTGAAATATGCAACAATGACTGCACAAGTGCCCCCACCCTCCCGTCCCACCGTTTTCACTGCGTCATAGACACTTTCTATTAGTGCAACGAGGGCGAATAAAAACAGAGAAAGCATGCATATTCAATAGAACATTCCTTGAAAAGCACGGCTGTTCATTTGATATTTACAGTCGTTCTTTCTCTGCCATCTTGAATTTCTATCCGTGACCATGAAAGGGCCCCCCATGAAAGGGCCCCGCTCCAAGTCCTGTTGGATTATCCTTCATCGTAAAAGAGTCCGTTTGCTCGTGATATTGCGGTAAATCACATCTGGCACAGAACTAGTTGCAGTATGTCCTGTACTCACCATATTTGTTACACAGTACTATAGCCATCATCAACCGTAACATTAAACGACAAACACAGGACGACACAATGCAGTGCTATTTCCAAATAACTTAATTTTATTGCAAGAAAACAGGATAATTTCAAGGGCTTGTTTTTATTATTTTTAATGATATTTATGAGAACTAACAGAAAATGATGCCAACAAAATTATAGGAGAATGTTAATTATGTATCGCAAAATGCCAAATAAGCACAATCCCTTCTTTAAAAAATAATCCGACCAGATTAGGAAGGTTGGCACCAGCTCGGTCCCAAACCGGTCGTTGGCACTTATTTCAAATCTCCCGAAGAGGGGAAGGTGGTGCTTGCTTGTGAGGGGGGAACTCACTCGGCATTTTATGGTATGTACCATAGAAGAAAGCACAGGTGATCTCCTGTACTTTCTGTGCAATGGACTCCTAGTTCTCACCATTATCGTTTTATTGGATCACACTTTAAGAAAAAATGGACCTTCTTATGTGGAGGGAGCATAACGTGAAAAAACCAAAACAACAGGTGAAGAAAGCACTTATTATTACATGATTTTTAAACCTGAACTGATAGCAAGCACACAGCAAGACCAGTGGTTCATGCGCAGTGACCACTACCCCGATCAAACCGCACCGTCACTGAGAAGCAGTCAAGAATTTGAAATCTGTGTTGAATAATGTCAAGGATGGAACAATGACACAATGCAAACCAAGCCCTGTATTTGAAGTTGAAGTTTGAAGTTTATTATATTTCTTTCTGATACAGAAAGAGGAGTAAGAGCTAAAGGCCGTATTGCCTGACAGAGGCTCCTACTCCCATGCGCATTCAGCATGCGTGTACATCTTTGCAAGCGATGCGAGTATACAAACAATAGAGCAACCAGAAAAATCAAAACATGCATGTACATAATTGTCACTGCAAATAGAGCATTACAGGTAGACATCATACATGAAAACTCTTCATGAAAACAAACATATCATACAGACACTCCAAGAATATATACCTATACGCATTAAATTGTGAACTTTCAAATTGTAGCACAAACTGTATATGCGGTACACATAGAAAATTAGACAGATATATTTTATTGATAAGTTATCGTGGAATATAACAGAAAGTTCTTTATAAATTTTTTAAAGCGGGGTGCATGAAAATCTATATGATGTTTTAACAATGTTCAATAGCCGGGGTACTTGATACTCAAGGTTCTGACGCCCGCAGTTAGTTCCCATAAGCGGTGGCATTCTCGTTTGGTGGTGCAATTGATATCGAGGGGGAGAAACGGGCAGGCTACTAACATGGAGCCTGTGCTTTTTTATGTGCAAAAGTAATCTATAATAGTAGATTTGATTTGCTCTGATTAACGAGTGTTTCTCAAAAAGATTGTGTGTGGGTAAATCTCGTGTTCTACCGTGATAGTTTTGGAAAGTTCGCATTGCCCTTTATTGCAGTTTTATTAATTTGTTGTAATTTTTTGCAGTTGTTGTTCCCCATATTAATGCACAATAGCTAAGTTTTGAGTGAAAGAGGGCATAGTACATTGCCTTCCTTAGTGTTAGTGGTATAAGATGGCTAATTTTATACATAGAGCCTACTACTTTACTGAGGTCGCTGCTAAGTATATTGATATGATTGTCCCAAAAGAGGTTTTGAAACCATACCCCCAAAAACTTTTGCGTTGTTACCTGTTCTATCTGCTCTCCTTTAAATAAAACAGTAATCTTGACAGGCATTGGCTTGTTTATCGGTTTAAATATTATATACTTAGTTTTGCTGATATTTATTTGAAGTTTGTTTAACTTCAGCCAGTCAGATAATAAATCTGAATAATCATTAATTTCTTTTTCAATCTGTTGTAGGGATGAATTTGAAAAGAAAAAGATTAGTGTCATCCGCATACATGACTATGTTCGGTGTAGGTGAAATGCTTGGGCGGTCATTGATGTATATGTTAAATAATACCGGGCCAAGTATGGATCCCTGCGGTACGCCAGTCTGTACTCTAAAATATGGAGATGTCACCTGATTAAGTGAAACATACTGAAAACGATCCGTTAAGTAGCTTCGCATGATATCTAACGTTGTACCGCGTATACCATAGCTATGAAGTTTAGATAACAGTATTTCATGATTCACACTGTCGAATGCTTTACGGAGGTCAAGGAATAAACCGACCGTGTATAAACGATTTTCAATGTTTTATAGTATTTGATGTTTTATTTTGAGGAGTGCAACCTCACATGAATTATTTTTCCGAAATCCATAATGAGATGTACTAATTATAGCATACTTATTTAAAAAACCTTCCAGTCGTGAATTAATAACAGCCTCAAAAAGTTTTGAGAAGAGTGGTAGTATTGAAATAGGTCGGACATTGTTTACAGAATTGTCTGCACCCCTTTTGTGAATTGGAGAGATACGGGCTATTTTAAGTTTGCTTGGAAAAATTCCGCATTCGAACATTCTATTGATAATATGGGCTAGGACTGTAGATATGATATCTGATACATATTTTATGGGAGATGCCAGTATACCGTCAAATTCTGCAGCTGCATTGCATTTAAAACTACTGATTACCTTTTCAACTTCACCTGCAGTCGTAGGAAACAATACAAAAGAATTTGGCACAGATTGTTTCGTTACAGCGAGTCTTACATACTCGGGATTTTCAAAAGAATTGCTGTTACAGCATTCAACTGTTACAGCATTCAACAAAGTGAGTATTTAGGGCACTGGCAGCTTCACTGTCTGTAAGAGCACCATTTACCGAAGATGTTCGTACGTTCTCACAAGTAGCATTCGCTCCAGACAACTTCTTAATTTCTTGCCAAATTTTTCTTGGATTCGTATATATACGCGACAAAACCCTTTCGTAATATTTTTCCTTCGCTTTGCTTAGCTGTGAATTTACTTGGTTACGATAAGTCTTAAATTCGGCTAATTGATTAATATTCCGTGTTTTAATAAATGTGTGGTACATATAATTTTTTCTTTTAATTTTTGTGAGAAGCGCAGCATTAACCCATGGTTTCCTAATTTTTTAGGTTGTTTTGCAACACTATGTTGCGGAAAGGCTTTATCGTAACCAGCAATCATCTTATCGAAAAATGAAATGTATGCCTTATTTGAGTCACTTTCAAGCAGTTAAGATTCCCAGCTTATTTCGCTAATAGGTGAGCGAAATAGAGCTATCGTCGTTTCATCAATGAGACGATAGGAAAAGGTGCTACGCTTGAATTTTTTGGAGCAGGGCAGAAAATTGGAAATTGATCACTTATGTCAACGGACATGACACCAGGAGTCACAGTAGGAGCATGTACATTAGTGATACAAACATCCAACAGGGTGGCACTAGAAGCGGTCACTCGTGTTGGCAGGGTTATCATATTCGAGCATGCGTAAGAGTACATCAACTGCTTATATTCTCTAGTTGTTGCATTTTCGGCCATCATATCTATGTTTGTATCACCTAGTACGGCGAACATTTTGCCTGTTTCGCTGAGGTAAGATAGAAGTTTATCCATATAGGAAAAGAAATCCTTTTTGTTTCCGCAAAGTGGCCTGTAGAGTACTGAAAGTGTTACTGTTTTAAGACTAATAGTGAGGCATTCAATGTTTTGATTATTCAGCGAGAAATCCGAAATTATCTCCGAATTCAGATCATTTCGTACATAGACAGCCAAGCCACCACCCCGCGCGTAGGTGCGGTTTAGTCCATGATATCTGTAGTTATCGAGCCGGAAGGCATAATCCTTATCAGAAAGCCACATTTCAGTAAAAAGAAGCACATCGAGATCGGTTTCGGTCTGTTGAAGCAACTCTTCAACTTTATCTTGCTTATTTTTTAAACTTTGGGCGTTTAAATGAAGGACTGAAATATGTTTTTCAAGCGCGGCAGATATATTTCTAAAGGAAATGTAATCATGATAAAGGCATTTATCGATTGAAGCCACGACTATACAGAAAAAGTAAAAACATGCTTTGAGTGAATAAGATTAGGCAACCATCTTGCTGATGTCATCAATGCTACAAATATGCAGTACAGGGGATGTTTCATTACGTCTGGCCATTACTTTCCCTCCAGTGGTCCACACGTATTTCCAACCAACCTCATTTCTCTTTTGTTTCGCAGCACTCAGTAACTGTTTGCCTTGCCTTGTCAAGTGCTCATTGATGAACACTGGACGATTTTCATCAAAACCAAGCATTTTGGTATCAATTTTCTCTGTCGTGCTTTAGCAAGGAAACCGTTCCTCTTGATGCGGCGCACAAATCGAACAATTATGTTATGTTCATTATGCTTAGCTGTTGGCACTTTGTGGCACATATCAATGTCAGACTCTTGTACTTCTTCTACAACTAGTTTGCCAATCTTTTTAATAATAGCTATTGGCTCTTCATCAACAGCAACACTCTTGATTTCTAAGTTATAGGAGCGTTGGTACATTTTTAGCTCTTCAAGTTTTTGTGCCAACTTAGCATTTTGCACTTTAAGTTCCTTGTTTTCTGTTAAAACGGCGTGGATCACTTCTCTTAAGGCTCCAAGGTCTTTAATTTCCTGTTTGAGCTCTTTCAGTTCTGCTAGACTGTTTTTTATCTCCTTCAATTCATCAATTATCTCAGCACGCAGTTCGTCCACAGCCTTTTTTGACATAGCAATATTCCACTAGCGTAAAAACAGAGAAGGTACAAATGCAGCTTGATGCAGTCCGGCAGCAGTGTATAGAGTGTAGGAAATCGAACGTGTAGTTCTTACCTGCAAAAGCAGATAGCGTCAGTTGTGTGCTTAAGATGCACTACTGCCGAACTGCAAGTCAAGTCGTATATCCGTCACCTTTTAAAGCCAGCAGTGTCGTCATCCTGTCCTCTTGTGGTAGAGAAGGCGCACAGGAACCACGTGAGTGTTTGACGAGAGCGTTGCAAGGCCGAAACGAAGTGGTTCCGCAGTCTTGCAGCTATCACCGTGCCCTGTTCCACGTGCATGACAAATCCAGCGATGAAGCGTTCGTTAGCTGCAAAAGCAGATAGCGTTATTTGTGTGCTTAAGATGCACTGCTGCCGAACTGCAAGTCCAGTCGTCAGTCCGTCGCCTTTTAAAGCCAGCAGTGTTGTCCTCCTGCCCTCTTGTGGTAGAGAAGGTGCACAGGAACCACGTGAGTATTCGACGAGAGCGTTGCAAGGCCGAAACGAAGTGGTTCCGCAGTCTTGCCGCTATCACCGTGTCTTGTTCCACGTGCGTGACTAATCCAGCGATGAAGCGATCGTCAGCTGCAAAAGCAGATAGTGTTAGTTGTGTGCTTAAGATGCACTGCTGCCGAACTGCCAGATTTAAAAGGCTGTTTAGAGCTTCTTGGGCTTTGCATTATCAAGACGTCATCATCAACCAATTCTTCCCAAGCATCAGTTTATGCACTGTACGTTACCACCGTTATGTGCAACAGGGCTGCCGAGACGGTTTTTGTCCTTTACTTATCAGATCTACATACCTAACTTTAGTAATGCAGATGACTCATGAATATGCATCTTTACAGCCGTCCATTGTTTGCTTTCCTGGTAGATAGGTACATCTTCCTTGGAAAAGTTCGCTGAAGCTTAACATGCACATTAGAAGTGAGCAAAAAATGAGAACTGCGAGAGATTGCAGCCAGACATTATCCTCACTTTTGTATCACAAGCAAAATGACATGCTGCGGCCACTTGCGAAAGAAAACCTATGACGCCAACAATGAGTGAAAACTCATGCTCTGTACCTCCACAATCCACAAAGCTTTCTTTCCCCTAGCAAGATCGAAATGGCCGTTTCTCCACCCTACTGCGACAATCTGATGACCTGACCATCACTGGAGTGGCACTTTGCATTTCTCGAATGAAAATCAGCATGTGCAGCACTACCACGTGCAATAAGTTTTCCACACCTGGTGGTGAAGAAAGGGCGTATGTAACTGTTTATGTAGCTTTAAATCGAGCAAAGACAGTAAAAAAACCTGAAAAATCACTTTAGTATATGCATACAATGAACATTCAAAAGCACACGGCCTTCTAGCTTTCCGGTACAGAAAGGTGTCTTGAAGGGCCAGTTGGTACATGATAATAAGGGGGAAATGGCACAAAAATAGGATAATAAAGAAGTGTTATGTGGTCATTCTTTCTTTGTCCCATTTTTGCACTGTTTCCTCGTCAGTTTCCAGCCCACACTTATGACAGGGCCTACCATCACATTCATGAAATACATCCCCACATGGAAAGGCACATCAGTTCGCCAGGTTAAGCCATGTAACACGGCAAACACAGCTCCCTCAAACACGAAGTGTTAACATTGTCCCGAATACATACAGAAAAATGTTACTGCAAATTATCGACAGCACCAAGGTAGGCAGTACAGCCTGAACCACACCTGCCTGGAGTTGTCAAGCACATGGCTGTATACACTGTCTATGGTCCGCATTAGCTACATTGTTCCGTTCGTGCCTGAATCATAGCACAACAACTTAGCATGAAACATGACTATGTTTGGCATCATTCGGTGGCAGCTCCCAGCACAGTTTTGCGAACAGCAGCAGCTGAAGCAACCGAGTGGCTTCCTCAGAGAAGTGTGATTCAGACTGTGCGCAAGATGCCCGTGGCGAGTGAGCCGACTAGTTTACTTATGATTCAGCAAGTGAATACACGAGATCTCACCTGTTGCTTCCTTGGTGATCATGCTGAGGTGCCTTCTCTCTACAATGCAGAATACAGAAACGTGTGAGTAAATGCCCCAACAACATTAAAGTAAGTGACAACTACTTTTTTTGAGAAGGCTTTTTCATTTTGTGCAACCAAAAGATTACCAGTCAGACTGTCTAATCGCTGAACATCAACGAAAAAAACACAGTGAAACTTTAAGATTCACATGCTCACATATTCATACGCGCAAGACTAACTTAAACCAACAGTGGCAGATTACCCTGATAGTAACTACAGACTGACAAGCAAGTGATGCCCTGTCAATCAATGCTGTGTTGTGATTGTTCGTGCTAGCACTCTGCAGTGCACCACTCATGCTTGCACGCGACGTGCATATGAAATGCTGTAATGCGGGTTTCCCTTTCCTTGGCTGAACAAAGGCAGACTGCTCCTCAGAGTCAACCACTTTCGCCTTGCAATAGGCATAGAATTGAGCGGGAATGCCTGATAGTTTACAGACTATAATTTTAAGCACTAATTGTGGCATGCACACAACAGCAGACTAGAGACATCGATCCGAATGACTCCTTCAGGCAGCGACAAAGCAAACTCGTTTACCTGACAGCATGATGTGCTGGTTTTCACAACTTCAGAAACACAACTGTAAATTACCAATTCCATTCAAATCAGCAAAAAAGAATATTCAATTTATTCCTACATTTCACACTCTGATCGCTAGAGGCCAGATTAAAAAAAAAGCACTAAAATCTAGTTTTAGGCACCAAAAATAGGAAGGCAAAACACAGTTTTAGGCTCTCTAAAATGTAAATAAAGGCACAATAAACTTTTACAGAACTTCAAATTCTCAAAGAGAGATGCGTAGGACTTGTGTATACAACAGGAAAGCAAAAAAAAATTTATATACTTCATCATGGCAGAAAGGCGCTAATGGTTCAACATAGCCTTGCAAAATTGACTTTTTCCTGCGCGGTTCGCAAGGACATGATTTTTCCTTTTATTGGCAAGCATGGTGAGCTAAGTCTCGCCGTAAAAGGAACACTCTCCTGGCCCTCTTTCTTTTCGGCATGGCTGAGAAGGGCAGCACAGGAGCGAATAGTCAGATCGCTAGATATCCAGAATTTTTTAGGCTCATGCTGGCTAGGGTCAACTTCCCATCTGTCTGTGAACACCTTAAAGGGTCCTTCACCAGGTTTCAGAATTTTTAGCTTGCAAGCGTAAGGCGTGAACAGGGTGCTCACGATGCACGCCTGCGAAGACTTCCGGTATCGCACGCCCCGAAAGAGGTGAAATGTTGATTGATTGATATGTGGGGTTTAACGTCCTAAAACCACCATATGACTATGAGAGACGCCGTCGTGGAGGGCTCCAAAAAATTTTGACCACCTGTGGTTCTTTAATGCGCATCTAATTCTGAGCACACGGCCTACAGCATTTTCGCCTCCATCGAAAATGCAGCCGCCTCAGCCGGGATTCGATCGCGCGATCTTGCGAGTCAGCAGCCGAAGTACCTTAGCCACTAGACCACAGCGGTGGGGGCAAAGAGGTGAAATGTCAGACTGAACGCCGCTTCCCCTTCATCTAACAGGCGCACGCCCAAACATGGAGGAGGTAACGTACAAGGAGTGGTCCTGCTGCACGTCCCAATAGTATGTGACATCACGAGAATTGTTCGAGATGACATGTGTATTTTGTGCGATCTGTTGGCAAATAGATTAACGAAAGTTGATAGAAATATTGAAACACTCAAGCAGAATCTGCATGCATTTTTAGTATTATTATCATTCTTTGCTCAAGATCGAGCTAGACGCGAGAGTAAGCTGCCTCTATTTCGCTTACATTCGTGCTTTTGCCATTCTCACGTCGTGCCGCTGCCAGCCCTGATAACACTTGGCGTATTTTTGGTGCATCATCTCTTAAAACAGCTCCAGTGGTGCTAGGTATTGTGGTAAGGATAGGTGATTCATGCTAGCCTCTCCAAACGTGTGGATCCATCCCACAGAAACAGGCAAAACACTACAGACAACTGACAACGCCAACGTGGTGCAACAAAGCTAGCGGGAGTGACCTGGCTTGAGCATGTCAAGGGCAGTTTACCCTTGCACTTGCATGACATGTCGAGGCGCTTGTGTCGTGTGACCTTCCAACTCCTAGTTGCTCCTATACCAAAGAGGGCAGGGAAAGAATTTGGCTTGCGAAGTATACACGGGCGCGAGTGCCAAATGTTTTAAGCTCACCTACTCGCATTATGCTTTCGGGCCTCGTAATGAAAAAATTGAAGAATGCTTATGGTACAAAGCTCTTCATTAAATGTGCCACAACTTCCAGTGTCCAAATAAATTTGATATGTGACCTGGTGAAGCACCCTCAAAGAAGTAAAATTACAAGTAAAACAAAAGCCATGTGTGCATTTGATTTTATTTTATTTTTTTAAACCACTGTTCTACTTTTTCTACACTCCCCTGATGGTTTCACATTCAATCTTCACCTTCCTGCGCCTGCACAGAGGCACCTCCTGTTCCTTGCCCCCCCCCTCACACACCCAGGTCTTTCAATCAGGAGCTTTATTCCATGGGAACACTGGCATGTAAAACTGGCTTTAAAAGCTGCCTGCCACGTCCCTGGCCATGGACGCCATTCTCCTGTTCTTTCTCTCTCCTTTTCCAACCTTTATTTCCTTCTCTTTAAGCCCCCATATACACCTAGGTGTTCTCTCATTCAGGGTAGCAGAAATAGCGTTTTTTCGAGAAGTACTTCGGGTTTGGCTAGCCGGTTCATAGTGCACATTATGAAAGGGCAGCGCAACGACACGAGAAAAGAAAGGCAGAGAAAAATAGTGCTCTTTGTCTCTCCATCTTTTTTTGTTCACGTCGTTGTGCTCCCTTTCAAAATGAGCGTTTCTTTTCCTTTTCTCCTCTCACTCGTGCAACCGCTTGCGCCATGTCAGTGCAATGGTGTAAAGCGGCCAACGCGACCCATTTCATGGCTGCTGGTGGTTGTTTACGTAAGTTTGTTGGGCTAGAGAACTAGGTTACAGCGCATAGAATTCCGAAAAGTCAATTTTGCCCGCTAAAATGAATGACATTCCCAAATTGTACTCGAAAGAAAATTTTGAGGTTATATAGTGCTCATATTTATTTTATTTCAGAAGTACTGCCAGCCTCACACATGAGGCCTTAGACAGGGGCGGGTGATACAAAAAAGGAAACAAATATGAATATACAACAGGAAAGAAACACGTCACGTAGAGCTACACCATCAAGAACTAGTGCATCAAAGTGAAATGCCAGTACTTACACAATCGCAGTGGTTTACTCGTACACGTACAAAAAAAAACTATGATGACAAACATCTGCTCATACAGAACTAAGAAACAAACATCATATAACTGGTTCAAAAATTGGCAACATTTCAAAAATACAACGCATTGATATGAAAAAAGTGATAGAAAGTGGAACATAAATGGAAGCCTGTTCAGGATGCGCGGTGGAATAATAGAGGGTGAAGCGCAAAGAAAGATCAAAGTCAAGTGGGTTGCTGGAGTTTAAGTTTTTCCATGAACGACTGAACGGTTTCGCAGTTCACCAGATCGGCAGAAAGTGCATTCCAATTAGTGACGTTGCACGGAAAAAATGAGTTTTTAAAGGCTTTTGTTTGATAGGAATATTCCTTCAGTTCTTTTAGATGCTTGGAACGAGTTGATCGGCGGTGAACCTGTTTTTATGTACGCGTGCTTGTCTATGCGTAACTTGTCGTGGTAAAGTAGAAACATGTACTTTAATCGATCGCGTTGTCAGTCTTGCCTGCAATGTATCCAGGTCAGCTTTTTTTAACAGTTCACTGGGTGACGTAAGAGCACTGTAGCGATTATATACAAATCGGATTGCTTTTCTTTGAATCATTTCAAGTGTTTTAATATTTACTTGGCTATGAGGGTCCCAAACCACAAATGAGTACTCGAGATCGGACGGATGAAAGCTTTATACGCAATTATTTTAATTTTGGGGTAGATTTGCGCAAAGAACATCTTAGAAATGCTAGTTTCTTTTCTTTTCAATGTAGCTGTCTTTTCAATGTAGGCAACATGCTCATTCCACTTAAAATCTGCACTTAATACAACCCCCAAATATTTATAAGTTTTAACAAACTATAGTTTTTGACCATTGATGTAATATGAGTGTTTCAAAGGAAGCCGCTTGCGCGTAACGGTCACTAGCTACCGTTTTCTTTTCATTATTCTTCATTTAGCACACTGCACACCACGAAGATATTTTTGTTGATGCTGCGTTTAAAAGAACCTGGTCGTCTGCACTACGTATTTCTCGATAAGGAATGCATTCGTCTGCAAATAACTTGATAGAAACATGGGATATCATTGGCAATGTCGTCTATAAAAATTAAAAAAAGAAGTGGCCCAGGCACAGAGCCCTGAGGAATTCCCGATTTCGCCGGTCGTGAATCAGACTGGACGTTATCTATACAAACTGTTTGATTTCGATAAGAAAGATAGGCCTCAATCATGAAGTTAATGTACTATTCTTTAGTATAGGTTTAAGTTTCGCGAGAAGTTTTGGATGCGACACACGATCAAATGCTTTTTCGAAGTCTAGGAAAATCATGTCAATCTGGCCTTGCCTATCTAGAACAGCTGCAATGTCATGAACGGTTTCGAACAGTTGTGGGACGGTTGAGAATCCTTTTCGAAAGCCGTGTTGTCGGTCATTGATTAAATTATTTTCCTCGAGAAAAACTGAGAGATGCTTGCATATAATATGTCCTGACACCTTCGCAAATGAGCAAAGCAGGGAAATCGGTCTATAGGCGGAGATGAGAGAAGTGTTAGGTGATTTGGGTATAGAGATAATTTCTCCGAATTTCCAGTCATCTGGAAGCGCGCGCTGTGACATTGACTTCTGAAAAATGATGCCCAAAAACTTCGAGCACCATTCAGCATACCTCACAAGGAACGCTTTAGGTATGCTATCAATACCAGGCGTCTTTTTGGGATCTATGTTAAGAAGCAGAGACAAGATTCCTTCCTCAGATATTGCAAGGTCACTTATTGGTGAGATATCATGAAGCGTTTTTGAACATGGCCTTCTCCCATCGTCATCAGTAAACACCGAACAAAAATATGTGTTAAATGATTCTGCAATATAAGCACCGATTGTGGAAATAGGCATTTATACACACTATAAAAACACTATGAAAGCCATCTTTAGCCTCTAATTCATGCTCATATATCAAAGCCGGCACAATAGGAATGCAAAGAACAAAATAAGCATTTGCCTAAAGTACAGTCTCCACTTATCACTTTCAAAAGTGCAGTGATGCTACTGGCTTAGGCTGCATTGGAGCAGCTTTTTGAGCAGACAAAAATGTGTTTTGGAGCTGCAAAACTGGCTTTCAGAGCAGGTAATGCTAGAGTCAATTCTAAGACACCTATTGTGTTTACGAAGAAATTCGTAAACAGGAGTTGTGTCTAGTTGACGTTCCGACAAGCTGTCTTGTCTGCCTAAGAACAGAACCGTTCTGTTCTAGCCTTCCGCTTGTTGAAACGTCCAGAACGACACAACTCCTGTTTACAGATTTTTTTCATTGCAAGGTTCCATCCCCCCTTTCTGCCGTTTTTTTAATACCGTGTTCATGAAACACGAATGATAAAATTACAATGGGCTGCACGGTATTCAAGTATAACAGAGTAAGAAAAAATGATATCACCGACAGATAACCAGACCATATTTATTAGACAAAGCCAATGATAACATTTAAAACCATAGCACTTCAATTATGACCTGACTGAAGATCATTTGACTGCGGGTTCTGCGGAAGCCAGATTTTTAAATATGCTTGGAAATTCAGACGCTTTCACAAGCCTTATAGCATCACAAGCCTTATCAACGTCCATGAATAAAAACATCTGAAATTTTCAATGCTGAACATCTTCGGCATCCGATTTTTTTAGCACAATACGAGTCAGCCCCGGTTAGTGTATGTGAATGTGAGTGCGCATAAATGATTACTCCACGTGAGTGCAGGTTAGTATACACGTGACTACCGGTCAGCTAGTATAAACAATGAATCAGTGCCGCTTGGTGTGTGCGAATGGGAGTATGCACAGAAGTGAATACCAATCAGTGAGTACGGACATGAGTTCTAGCTAGTAAGCATGAACATGAGTGTACACACAAGTGACTACCGTTCAGTGAGCACCATATGCGAGTACAATAACGAGTGAGTGCCAGTGTGTGCCTCCATGCACCAGAACGTATTTGGCATGGTTAGACAGTATAACACTGGTATTTAACTCCACTACAAGGTTTCTATCTCCCTAGTGGTTTAATGAGCTTAGTTTTATTTAGTGTTTGCTCCTTTTTTTCCTTTTCATTTAAAGCGAAGGACAGGTTACACTTGGAATATCATGAAATGCTTCTACAAATGGGTCCAAGCTCGTCAGAAAATGAAAACTCGGGCGACGTGCTACGATACAGGCGGGAAACGTGTTCTTTTTTTTTTTTTTTCCAGGCAAGATCGTCGCGAATGCCAGAGGCGAAACGGCATCGGCGAGCAAAGGCGTGCCTAACCCAAAAAGACACAGGGGAAAAAATAATGAAAAAAAAAACTGCGCGGAGACGCTGTGAACGTCCGCAGGAAAAGATTGCCGCAAAACGATAAATTCTAGGTCGTCGCGTGCAGTGGAATTCGGCCACGGTTTTCAACAAGACCACTTTGACGCGACGGGTTGAACCATCGGACCTGTCGACATTGTGCAAACGAAACAGGCGGAAGCATAATCGCGAGTTTGGCTAATTGGTGCATGTTCATCGTGGATTAACCACGGAATTACTAACAGCGCAAAAGAGAATACGGGCGGTAGAAAACACCGGACAGCGCTGTGTCCGTTTTTCCTACTGACGGTATTCCAACTCTGTTGCGCTGTTACATTTATGCCGCGAAACATACAGGCAGCCGTGATTCACTTTGAACATCGGAAGAAGTTTGTTCCGTTGTGCTGCGCGGCGGAACTGTAGACGTCTAATTGAGCTGGGGTCCGATAAAAAGTGGAACCCGGAAGCGAGTCGCATTTCGCGTGGACCCGCTTTGCACCTTCAGCCAGAACACGATAATTAACGGACGCGCCATGGGCAAAACGTAAACAGAGAAGCCTGTGCAGCGCCCGGGCCTTCCCGCGTGCACTTGTTTTTGGCAGGGGGCTGTGCTTGACACTTGTCAGCATTCGCGCGTGCATTTACTCGGACATGCGTGCGCTACAAGCGCGCCGTGCTTCAGGTGAGCCTGTCGAAAAGTGGCGATCGGCAACGGAAATATAGGGCCGGTAGGGTCGATGTGCTGGGAGCTGGTCCGGCAGGTTTTTGCCGAAATCGAGACCACAGGCGACGGCGCCGATGCGAGGTTCGCTCATGGTGGGGAGGTAGCAGCCACACGCGGTCCGATAAATGTAGAAAGGGGCTTACCTTTCCGAGCGCACGTACAGGCAGCACTCGGCACCGCATAGCACAGGTGTCACCGGAGACAAGCGAAGAAAGCGGCAAACAAAAACGCGAACACGAAAACAATAAGTCTACCTACAACACTACTCGGCGGGCGCAACCTAAATAAATAAGCACAAACAGCGATGTCCAGGGCGTTTTCAAGTTGCGCTGAAAAAATGTGTGCAGTCCGCCGTCGAAATAAGGCGCTGCTGACGTATGCTGTGAACGTTGTTAAAGGTTCGTTCGATTCACCAGGACCTCGTGGACCAGTGCTGCACTTTGCCATTCGTTTTAGTGGTGCAGCATTTACGACCTCTGAACTTTGTCATTCGTTTTAAAAGGGGCAGCACTGGTTTATAATTTTCCTGCACTTCTTACGCTGACGGTGCCGGCTTCGTGCAGCCACACAGCCAAGGCGTTTGCGCCTCATAAACTGTCTGCATGTGCGACTCACCGTCGGTCAATGTTTGCTGAACGGTGTAAATTAAGCGAAAAGAAATAAGGCCTGCGCCTTGTCGGCACATCGTCATTCGTATCGGGTGTCATGCTGTGCCTGCACCACTGAACTCACGCTGCCCAAGTTCTGAACTTCGCGTGCACAGCCGTGAACCGGTTCCGAATGGTTCAGTTGAATCGAACGAACCTGACAACTGGTGCACATTATGTGTTGAATATCCCAACACCCTAAACAGCCAACTTTGCGGTTCAGTTTGATGCCACCGCAACATGCAATAAACAAAAACAATTATTGAATCGTTTTGCAATTCTGCCTGTTTATTGTACTTTTGAATGTCTTTCTTGTAAATTATTTTGGCGCGCTCTTTGAATGACACAAGTAGAGTCATTCTGACATAAGCTACGTTTACGGTGAACGAAAATGTACACAAAAGCATTGCCATTGACACTACTTTAAAGTTCCTTGCAACTTAACAGCTCCAGACTTCGAAACAAACTGCGATTTCATGATACTGTCTCAAAGCATCCAAATCTATTGATACAATAGGTGCTCTGGAAAATCAGATGAGCTATACTGGTTATATTAAAAAAAACGAATAATAAATTCAACAGCATTCTATTTGCTCCTAGAATGGAATATTCAAAAAGCCAAACATTTCTCATATAGTTTTTGAACAATCAGAACCGACAGGAGAATCCCAAAACAACGAAGCTTTGGAACCATTAAATGTCATTTTACTTCTTTTATTCACTCAACTATCAATGCCTATGTAGCTCTAGCTTTCAAGAGACTTCCGATGCTACACTGACTGCTGGGTGAAGACGCTTATTTTTCTGAAAACTCAACTTTTACTCGGATTCTGTTGCAATAACCAGTTTCTGTGCTCATTTTGTACTAACCGAAATGGAGATTACGACTGCAGATTGAGCTTTATGAATGAAAACGGGTGCAAGCGTTGTACATTTATAACTTGCTCTTGCAGATAGAGTTTCCAACACTGTATACCCACTTTTGGTGCTAAATTTAAAGGTTTATCTTTTTCATTACATATTCAGCTGCACTCGTAATGTTCGGTTCAAAATTGTTTATGTATAAATTTATTTCCAATGCAGGCGACAATGGGCTCCTGCAGTCACTGCTGTGAACAATCTCACTTCAGTTAATCATCATATCTTGATTAACACTCTCAGTTACCTAAAAGTAAGTGCTAATGTTCTTTGGTAAAAGTTACTGAATAATTATTTAATAAGTAAAAATTCGGGGACCCTTAAGCTTCACCTTTAAGAGTTGAACGCGATAGCGAAATCCAGCTCCTAGTTTATCCATCAACTGCTAAGTGCATACTTATTCATATGTTTTGTTACATACACATGCACGCACACAAACACGCACACACTAGATTGGACCAGCGCGCGCTATTATCGCCGAATGGGCTCGTTTTCGTCGTGACGCCTGTCGAACAAAATGCGTTAAAAGGGCCCTGAAACACTTTTTCAAGTAACCATGGAATGAATTCACTAGAAGAGCTTATTGCGTCACGAATTCAACACCTCAAAAACTTTAAGAATCCATCCAGTGCAAGTGGAGTTACAAAGCTTTGTCGCATGCTGCAATCGCATTCTCTCTTCTCTCGTCCCGACAAAAGCGCTGGAAGCTAAGCAGAAAGGGGTGGTAGGGCAAAAAAACTACCACGCCTCGTGACCTTGAGCCTTTTTTTTTTCTTCGAATGGTCGGCTTTTTCGGTGTGATCGCCCACGCACACGTGGATAAGTAGTGGTTTCCCGCGGCTATTTCAGTGACTTGAAGTTTCGGTCACAGACGCACAGACGATTTTTCGCTCGCAACCAACAAGGCCGACGACAGCGGCGGGTTTTCTGCGACACCAGCTCTTTAACGCTATCGCGTTAAAACGTGGTGTTATAGAAATCTTTTGAAAATTCTTGTTTCACTAGCTATTCTGATACTATTCTGTTTGTTTGACTCGATGTCAGCAGTTTTCAATATATATTCGTATTGCATTCAGTTCCAAAATTTGATCACTTTTCGCACACCCCTTCTGTTTATACATTGATGTCAGGGGCTTAGCCAGCGGGTGGCCCACAAGGCACGTTCCCCCCCCCCCCTCCTGTCACAGAACGAGCGCTCAAAATGGGCGCGCCGCCAAATTCTTGCGATAACGCGCCGGAGTGACGCCGTGAGGTCAACGGAAAAAAAAAAGAAGAAAATAATCATCTAAAGGCTCCCCGGGCACGCGACGCTCTCCCCTCGGAAGCGTGGCTTCGCCGATGAATCTCCTCACCCCACATCGGCGGCCGAGAAAGCACTGGAAATTTCTAGAAGGAAAGGGTCGTGTTCTGCCGGGTTGAGCCATCAGTCGGGGACGGCCCTCGTACAGTCTCACGCATCTCCCCAACCTTCGCTGCGTATCGCGCCGACGAAATGACGAGAACTTTCTGGAATGTGGCACGGAAGGTATTTAACCGAGCAGCCGAGATGAGAGATCAGGAGAAGACGGAAGTTAGCGCAAGAGCGCGTAGGGTATACCGCCGTGTAGTCGGCGAAGGTTTTGTCCGTAGATACAAAGCGGGAGATGAAGAGGATTTCCACCTGAGGGCTTCCCCGTTATGTCCGTTCTCGGATATTCGGAGTCCCAGAACTCTTATGTGTTCCTCCCTCCCATTCCTCCCTCCCGGGCAATGAAACCGCACACACCCTAGCTCGAGAGTTAGCGAGCCGAGCAGGGGCAGGAATGACGCGGAGCCCGCGTGCGGAGAGAGACCGCATGTCCAGTTACAACGAAATTACCAAGCACTACAGATTAGGGAGGCAGCTTTACCCGCCACCACACTCCTCATTAAATAAGCAGCAGGCGACAGCGTGGCGCCTATTACAAACAAACACGTTCCCAAACCCAATCGCTTATAATCATTGTTACCCGGACCTCTACTCAGACAGATGTAAACACTGCAATCAGCGGGCGGACCTCAAACACATTATCTGGGCTTGCCCCAACATCGTGAAGGGGCCAAACACATACATGAATACGGAGCAGTGGGAGACCGCGCTACTAAGCTCAAGCATCGAGGACCAACTACAGGTCATCAGGCAAGCCGAAGATGCCGCTAGGGCCCAAGGACTCCTAGCTGCCATCTAAGGGAGGGGAGTCAACTCCTCTAACACTTGCCGTTCCAATAAAAGTTGTTTCTCTCTCTCTCCACCTGAGGGGTGAGCTGCTCGAGCTACAGGCAAGAGCGTGTGTTTTCCGCTATCGAGCGAAGACGCGTGGATACCGCTGCGTGTGTGAAGCCGACGTGTTTCGGGCGAAGAAGTTTGAAGCTTGGAGAGTGGCCTATTGAAGACGGGAGGTTTCCTGGAAGAGAAACTTCGGCGAGGTTTCCTGGAAGAGAAACTTCGAGGGCTGCGGAACGACAACAACACTAGACTTTGAGTGAGTGATTCTCGGAAGAGTATCATCTAGACTCTGGTTCCAAGAACTTTGGACTGAATAGGTTTTCTATCTGTTTAGTCTTTAAGTGTCTTGGTTGTTCAATGCATGCGACTGCATTGTAGTGCGTATTGTTGTCTGCGTCCGTTGTTTCAAGTGTGGTTGATTGTATTGTGTAGTACGTTGTTTGTTTGGTGACATATTGTATGAGACTATTGTGGAGTGTGCATTCTTGTGTATTGTTTTCGATCTGCCATTATTGAGAATATAATTTTGTTTGCTTATCAGCTCTTGGCTCTAAATTGTTCTTTGGGCCACAGCCGGCGTCCGCTGGCGCGCCAAAAAGGACCACTTCTAAATTGTCCACGCTTTCGTGGTGCGGTTCGGGGGGCCTATACTTCCGCCCTTGGAATTAGCCCGGCGATAGCCTCCCTAATTAACGGGACCTGTGTGTGACAATTAATCTGGCGTCCGCGACACAGGACCTTTTGGTGCACAGTGTGTCCAAAGTAGTGAGAAAGAGCCTCGAGTTGTTGATAGTGCTATCGGAACGATTTTGTGTGTTGTTCAGTGTTCTCGTTAACGAGTGCAGGGGAGTGTTCCGATAGTCTGATTTAGGCAGATACTTTTTACACGCGGTAAGACTTTATTTGCGAGACATCACGGATCTCGAAAAGTTAGTTGCTCTTGGTGAGAAGATGGGTCTTTCTGGCGCCGAACTACGGAAGTGGGTAAGCCAGAAGGAGAAAGAGGTGGTGGAGAGAGATAGGTTGGCAGCTGAGAGAGCCAAGGAAGAGAAAGCAGCTGAGTTGGAGCGAGAGAGGTTGGCAGCTGAGAGGGCCAAGGAAGAAAAAGCAGCTGAGTTGGAGCGAGAGAGGTTGGCAGCTGAGAGAGCGAAAGAAGAAAGAGAGCAGCAATTGAAATTGGAGCTGGAGAGAGAAAAGTTGGCAGCCGAAAGGGCGAGAGAAGAAAGAGAGCAGCAATTGAAGTTGGAGCTGGAGAGAAAAAGACTGGCAGCAGAGAGGGCGAAAGAGGAAAGAGAGGAAAGAGAACGGCAGCGACAGCACGAGATAGAACTCGAGCGGCTCCGTTTGCAACAGCGAAGCGAAATTCCCGTCCAAACTAGAGTTGAAAGCAGCGAACGGGAAGATCATGGCTTCCGCTTGAACCCAAGCAAGTTGCTCGTAGCATTTGATGAAAGGAAGGATGACCTTGACACGTACCTTCACAGATTCGA